CAGTGGCCCCGTAAGTAGTGTAATAAATGTGGAGATTTCCACCCGTCTTTTGTAGGCAGAGGTAAAGCATCGTAGAACTAACAGTCAGCCTGCCTTCCAGAAATGTGCATTGGTGAGAGGCAAGTGCCCTGGAGCAGAAGCAGCCGGGTGGACATCCCCACGGGATGCATGGCTCATTTCCTAGGGGCGAGAATCTCAGCAAAATCTCACTGGGGATCCTGGTCATCAGAGGATTGCTGAACGTCCCTGCAACTGATGACCATTCTCTGTGCCGAGAAAACAGTTTGTGAATTTCTCGGGCAGAGGAAGCAGCAGGGATAGGCATTTGATATTGCAGAAGAGGTAGGGAGATGCCGCCAGGAATCAGCAAAGACGTATCAGAAAGCTAAATCCTTGAGGATGAAGGAGAGTGTTTTGAGAAGAAATGCTGAAGGACAGAGTAGCTACAAAACCAAGAGGTACAGAAATAAGACTAAATAAACAAAAAGGTGGGGATGGCCAGAGGTGGAGGAGGAGAGAGAGATGGTTTCAACAGAAAGACTTAAGTGACCGTGAAGGAACATTTGTAAGTGTCTCTCGAGCCTCCAAGCCCATCAGTGAGAATGGGGCCCCAGTGCCCGGTGCGATCAGTTTTAGCAAGCAAAAAAAAAAGGTTTTCTTTTGTGGGGGACACATTTAAGTTGTGATGTGTAGACTTTTGACAAACCACTCCAACTGGTTTTGGAAGTTATCTTTTGGAAAATTGAAGTCAATTGAAAAATGCATTCTGACATTGTCTTGTCTTTCATAAGACTTAACAGTTGCCAGTAGCCCTACTTACTTAGTTCAAGGATAGTTTAGTGTCTTATTCACAAGAAGTTTCTTCAGTCTTTGCTCCTTAACTACATTCTGTGACAACAGCTGTCATTTCAGTTTTTGGCAGCAGAACTGTTACAGAAAATTGACCTTCAATGAGTCGTATTACCTCATCCAGGTAGATTATGAGGCTTTAAACAAGTGATGCTACTTCTCAGAGTGAACATTTACATCCAAAAGGAACATACATTTTCTTCCATCATACCGGGGAGCATTGGATTTTCCTATAGAGTTACTTCTCATACTGTTAGTTAAATCACTATTTTTTTTTTTTTCTGATAGACATTGGGTTACTTACTTTATACTATATGTTAAATGTACTTTCAGGCTCTTCCAAAGATCTGAAATCATTAAAGATATCATACTTACAAATTTTAACTTACCATGTTTTTCCTTGCTCAGAATTTATCCAAAAATTTGCCATTTTCTCCCTCTGAATTTGTCAGAGTTAAAGGAGATATCAAAATTAGGGAGGGGACGAATTTCTAAAATGAACTCAGATAGCAATATAAAATATCAATTTTTTCAAGATATGATTCATTTACTGGGGAGAGAAAGTAGACATCATGTTCTTCAAGTTGCCTTAAATAGGATCCTAGGAACTTAGTTCTACTACTTGCACAGTAATAAAAAAAAGAAATCTATGAATTATGTTTATAGTCTCAGCTAAATATAAGGCAAATGAGACAGAAAAATTCTGCTTATTTCAATAAATTGTTAGAATGTTCTGTAATCATTATGCTAGAATCACCATTTATGTTAGTTGACCTCAAAACATTCAGCTGGAGGATGCACTACTGGTATATCAGCAGAAGCACCAAATAAGAGGTCAATAGCTGTGGAGTAAGGCCAGCTCTTTGCATGTAGGTGAAATGAAAATGAAGGAAGAGAACAATTACCTAATCTTTCAAAACTTTTAATAAAATCTGAAAGCAAGTTCATCCTCTACAATACTATGTAAACACTGTGAAAACAAACTGATGCAGTTAATTTTGTCAATGCTAGCATGCCCGAACAAAATTACTTCAAATTATGCTATGTTTGTCCTTGCCTGTGCCTATTGGCAGAATTCTCTAAGGTTATTGCTTTTGGTTATTGTATCCTGAGGCTTCTTTATATCTGACATGTTATAAGGGAGGTTTTCTTCCACCCGCCACTATGCCAGGTCTTCAGTTAGTTGAAGCCAGGGGGTTTTTTTATTAAAAGCAAGTAAACAATAGCTCATTTGAATTTAGGGATAAATACTATATATTTGGAGTGAAAAATTGTGAACAGCTTTAAATTATATGTCATGCATCAACAGATTATTTTTGCGTGGACAGCACAGCCTTTGTAAACATCCTTACAACTTTCAGTTAGCCTAAGAGAGAGAGCGTTTCCTTGGTGGCTCTTTCTAGGGGCAGCCGTCCCAGGCCAATCCTACTGTCTTCCTATGCTACCTACATGAGGTATACCCAGGCTGTCAAGGGCATAGGCTGTAGAAGGGTTACATGTCCCTTACTCTTCTGCCAACAGTGTGAACCATATTCTAAGTTGGTGAAAAACTGGACCATTTATCCAGTTTTTAAGCATCATTTTCTCTGCATCCTTCTGCTTGACCACTTTTCTTCTACAGCTGGTACATAATGATGTTGTTGTTGTTGTTGTTTAGTCTCTAAGTTGTGTCCAGCTCTTTTGCGGCCCCGTGGACTGTAGCTTGCCAGGCTCCTCTGTCCATGAGATTTCCCAGGCAAGAATACTGGAGTGGGTTGCCATTTCCTTCTCCAGGGGATCTTCCCAGTACGGGGAATGAACCTGCATCTCCTGAATAAGCAGGCAGATTCTTTATCACTAAACCACAAGGGAAGTCTAGATAATGATGTACCATGTATGCTACATTCTCTCTATGAAAAACTCAACCAGTTAGAAGATAAAATAAAAATTGTGTTTAGTTCCATTTTTATAATTTAAAAATTAGATTTTATTTAGACTAACTAAATGTACATGTATACCTGTGTGTGTGTATGTACAGCATGCACACTTTAGAGAATGTGGATATCAGAGATACTTATGCTGAAAGACAACTTCAGTTACTTACTAGCTGTGGAAGAGTAGTAGTTCTTCTGGGCTTCAGTCCCTTAATCTATTAAATAGAGTTGTTCAGTGTCATTATTTTGGAAAGCTGTATTAAATAGTATAATAATGATAATTGATATGTATTGAGCCCTTAGTGGGCTAAGTATTGGGCTAAGTGAATTCAAAACTGTCTTGTTTTACTTCAAAATAAAATCTATACTTAATATAAAAAAAAAGAAAGAACAATGTTTAGGAACTTGGAAACTCAACTTTGTGCAAGTAAGATCAAATTCTGATCTACTGAACACACAAAAGTAAAATCAGTGGCCATAGAGTATTTTAGAATTTTGAATAAGTGCCACTGGATATTATCTTGCACATGCTGTTCAATAACATATTTCAAGTCAGCCAATATTTTTGACAGTAATCTGTCATGAAGTCTGTGACTATACAACAAGATTTGCAAAAGTAGAGAGCAAAGAAAATTGAAAAAAGAAATTCATTTTTATGGTTCAATATATTATGAAACCTTGACCAAAAGGTCTTAAGAAAGTAAGGAGGGATTTTCAGTTTTAGAGTTTCTTATTCAATCAGGAATCCTGTGCAGAGTACTTGATTAAGGAGATTAGGTTACATCTGAAAGGCAGAGAATCTAGTTAAATAAGAAGTAGGTTTCTAGTGTCACTATATCCATTGTAAATAATACTTTTTTATAATAGATTCTTCTATGAGTCAGAACATTAAGGCTTTCTCTTTCAAAATAACTATTCTATCTTCATCACATTTACCAACTACTTTAATCTGAATTTCTAATAATTAACTAACCTCCATTGGGAAAATTAAAAACATATATTTAGCATGATGATATATTAAAGTGATTTTTAGTACCTATAAAGTACATCAAATGTAAAGTATTTTCTCTAACAACCAATTCTAAAATTGGAAAAGTTGATGTTTTCAGTATAAACTTGGTATCTGATCAGTTATCAGAATGCATTCATTAAGTGGATTAAAAGGAGAATTTTGGGGAAAAAAAGGAGTGATTCAGAAAAGCTTAAATTTTTTTTAAATGGATGTAGTCATTCCTTCTTGCACAGAACATTAAGTAATAAGAATTCAAATGTCCTTATAATGAAAAACAGCCTAATATTTTTGCTGTTTTCAATATTTGAATATCTATAATTCCCACTTCTCCCCCCAAATCTAAAAACTGCTATTTTAAATTTGATAATTTCTTAGAGAAGAACAGCAGACTTCAGCCAGCTTTTTTTTCCTTAAGGGGCTTTATAATCTTCAGCCATTAGGTTTAAACATCAAAATGAGTTCAATGTGCCAAACAGGGCAAGCCAGCATGATGGCATTTCTACACCCCAGAGAAACAGTGTGATTGTCTAATGAGTTTGTATTTTACATAAATCAATTATTTTCAGTTAAAGACTCCAGGGTTCCATTGGGAGTTCTCTGCAAGCTGGATCCTACACTCCCGTTATCTTGGAAGATGATCTTATTGAAACACTTAATTCAGTTGACATTGTTGACATTAACTTCAAATATAAGCGGCTTCCACAGGCTAATAAGAAAACTTTAAATTCTATGTATTTTTTACTGCAACCATGAAATTAAAAGACACTTGCTCCTTGGAAAAAAACGTATGACAAATCTAGTCAACATATTAAAAACCAGAGATATCACTTTGCTGACAAAGATCCATATAGTCAAAGCTGTGGTTTTTCCAGTAGTCACGTACAGATGTGAGAACTGGCTCATAAAGAAGGCTGAGTGTTGAAGATAGACACTTTTAAATTGTGCTGGAGAAGACTCAAGAGTTCCTTACACTGAAAGGAGATCAATGAATCCTAAAAGAAATCAACCCTGAATATTCATGGTTTGCATTGATGCTGAAGCTCCAACAGTTTGGCCAACTGATGCTGGGAAACTTCAAGGGTAAGAGAAGGTGGTGACAGAGGATGAGATGGTTGGATGGCATCACTGACTCAATAGACATGCATTTGAGCAAACTCTGGGAAGTAGTGAAAGACAGGAAAGTCTGGAATCCTGTAGTCCATGAGGTCACAAAGAGTTGGACAGGACTTAGACTGCACAACAGCAACATTCTTTTCTGAGTATAGGTAATCACATCATTATCTATGGATAGAAGCTTGGGAGGACACATATTCATGTAAGACCCTAACAAAATGAATATCTTTTAGAGTTGTGATTTAATATATTTTAATTACCTATATGCAGTAACCCTAACACTACATTTTAGAGAAAATACAATCTTGACCCAATTATTTTAAGTGAATGCAACACTATGCTTTTAAGCATATTTATATTCATTTATTTTCTAATTCCTCATACCTTTTGATGAGTTTTATTTCAAGGAGAAGAGAAAAATAAAAGATATTTATTAAAAGATTCATTGAGCAAATAGATGTTCCTAAGACTTTTGTTGAAATAATTAATGTTCACTTTAGTTTCAACACAATAGAGAACAAACAGCATATGTATGTAACAACATATTGCATAAAAATACACATGAATTTCCTTGCTTGGTCAGCTGAGATGGCCTGGAAATTGTGAGATTCCAGTAATAAAGAGCACCTAGTGCCCAGATCTTAGATTGTTAATACCATTCTCCAATAAAAGGAACCTCAGAGAAATGGCTGATTTTAGGGTTGGGGAATGTACCAAATGAGTCGGGGCATCCCATAAGCCGTGCCAGAAAGTAGGAATGTATTTTAAAGCAGGCAGACATAAACTTCAAAGTTGGGATATATCCTTGTGACACAGAAGCCAGCCATTAAGCTCCCAATTTCCAAAGCTGGGAAAATTAGCAAAGGAACCTAAAATTAGTAGTACTGGGTTATAAGCTAAAGTACAAAATAAATAGCCATGGGTTCACATTGATATAACAAATGCTTAAATAAACAAATAAAAAACAAGTATTTCATGCAGGAAAATTTCAAATAATATGTGTACATATTCCTTTCTCTTTATGGGCTGTGCATAGTGACTTCCTTCCAAAGGGTACAGATGAAAAGAAACAAGCAGAGGTAGTTTTATAGTGGAGATATTTGACAGATACTACCTCAGCTAAGGTGATTACTGTCAACATAAACAATCAACATGATAGTATGTACCCTTGATTCTGTATGATGAGAATGGCACTTTACCTCTATGATTTTCTTTTCCAGTCTGGTCATGAGAAAAACATCAGACTAATTTCCATTCAGGAATATTCTAGAGACTGTTTGACCACTACTTCAAAAACTGTCACAGTTGTCAAAAATTAGAAAATTCTGACAAAGTGTCACAACAAGAAGAAGCTAAACAGATGGGATAACTAAATGTCAAGTGGTATCCTGCATGGAAACAGAAAAAAAAGTCATTAGCTTAAAAATAAGAAAATTTAAATAGAACTTAGATGATTAAAAAAAAAAAACCAATATTTGTCCCTTAATTGTAATACGTGTATCACCCTAAAGTAAGGTAACAGTAATGGCAGAAATTGGGTGTGGAATATATAAGAACTCTATATCACTTTTGCAATTTTTATGCCAATCTTAAATAGTATTAAAGCAAAAGTTTAAAGAAGAGCACATGGTACATATCTTTTATAAATGATAATGAGTTTAAGTCAAGTAAAATTCTTGGCCCTTTTCTGTAGGAGTATTTCTAAGTGCTGATCCAACTAGGGTCCTGGCTTAAGTTGAGATTATTTTCTTTGCTGTTCAGACACATTCGTGCTTCCTCCCTGCTAAATCCATAATTCTTTGCATATATGTCTATTAAAAACCTGTAACCTAATGATATTAGTTAGATTTTCTATCTCTTCTTGTTCACTTTACTACTTTAGGGACTTAATGAAATCTATACATCTTATGTCTGCAAGTTTTAGCATAGTGCCTAAGGTATGAGAAAACTGAAACATGTTCCATGCCTACAAACATATATAAATAAATGAACAAATACATACACAATGTCTTAAATTCAAATATACTTATGGAAATCGAAGATATTTTGTAATTCAGCAAAATGTATTAAATTGCTATTTGTTCAAACTCTCAGTCATGTCTGACTCTTTGTGACCCCATGGACAGCAGCACTCCAGGCCTCCCTGTCCTTCACCATCTCCCAGAGCCTGATCAACCTCATCTACATTGGACTGGTGATGCCATTCAACTTTCCATCCTCAGTCATCCCCTTCTCCTCCTGCCTTCAATCTTTTCCAGCATCAGGGTATTTTCTAATGAGTCAACCCTTTGCATCAGGTGGCCAAAGTATTGGAGCTTCAGCATCAGTCCTTCCAATAAATATTCAGGATTGATTTCCTTTAGGACTGACCAGTTTGACATCCCTGTAGTCCAAGGGACTCTTAAGAGTCTTCTCCGACACCACAGTTCAAAAGCATCAGTTCTTCAGTGCTCAGCCTTCTTTATGGTCCTACTCTCATATCCATACATGACTACTGGAAAAATCATAGCTTTGACCAGACGGACCTTTGTTGGCAAAGTAATGTCTCTGCATTTTAATATGCTGTCTAGGTTTGCCATTGCTTTTCTTCCAAGGAGCAAGCATCTTTCGTGGCTGCAGTCACCATCTGCAGTGATTTTGGAGCCTAAGAAAATGAAGTCTGTCATTGTTTCCATTGTTTCCCCATGTATTTGCCTTGAAGTGATGGGACCGGATGCCATGATCCTAGTTTTCTAAACTTTGAGTTTTAAGCCAACTTTTCACTCTCCTCTTTCACTTTTGCCAAGAGACTCTTTAGTTGCTTTTTACTTTCTGCCATAAGGGTGATGTCATCTGCATATATGAGGTTATTGATATTTCTCCCAGCAACCTTGATTCCAACTTGAACTTCATCCTGCCCAGCATTTTGCATGATGTACTCTGCATGTAAGTTAAATAAGCAGGGTGATAATATAGTCTTGACATAATCATTTCTTAATTTTGAACCAGTCTGCTTTTCCATATTCAGTTCTAACTATTGCTTCTTGACCTGCATACAGGTTCCACAGGAGCCAAGTGAGGTGGTCTGGTATTATCATTTTTTAAGAATTCTTCCAGTTTTTTGTGATCCACGGAGTCAAAGGCTTTAGCATGGTCAATGAAACAGAAGTAGGTATTTTTCTGGAATTCTCTTGCTTTTTCTATGATCCAACAGATGTCGACAATTTGATTGGTGGTTCTTCTGCCTTTTCTAAATCCAGCTTGGCCATCTGGAAATTCTTGATTCACATACCGTTGAAACCTAGCTTGAAGAATTTTGAGCATTACTTTGCTAGCATGTAGAAAAAGTGCAATTGTGCAGTAGATTGAATAATCTTTGACACTGCCTCCCTTTGGGATTGGAATGAAAACTGACCTCCATTCCTCTGGTCACTGCTGAGTTTTCCAAATTTGCTGGCACATTGAGTCCAAATTCCAAATTTCTATAGTGAGGCAGATTACATGGCTTCAAAGTACTAATAATCTTTAGCAGTAGAAGTATCTCTGTGATCTCTAATTTATGAATGTTTTTTATTGTCCCTTAGTGGCTTGGATGATAAAGAATCAGCCTTCAAATGCAGGAGACCCAGGTTCAGTCCCTGGGTTTGGAAGATCCCCTGGAGAAGGAAATTGCAACCCACCCCAGTATTCTTGCCTGGGAAATCCCATGGACAGAGAAGCCCAATGGGCTACAGTTCATGGGGTCTCAGAGTTGGACATGACCGAGAGACTAACACACTTTTCATCATTCATGGGTCAAACTCAATGCTAACCTTCGTTGCTATGCATAATTACATAGTTACTAAGAATGACATTGATGTATGTAAGATATTTTATTTTGGCAGAGTATCCTTTTATAATATGGCCACAAATGCCCTTTTAACTTCATCTGCAATTACTCCAATAAGCCCTGTAAAACTGATTTTTTCCTTGAAACTGCATTGTACCTCATAGAATACACATATACTATTGCCTGTTCCCGAAATAGTCTTTCCATTTTCCCAGTCTGGACGCTTCCTATTCACATTACAAGACTAATGTTGCATTGGTGTATGTGAAAAACAATACAAGCTTTGACATAAACATATGGTAGTTCTCAAGCATTTATACATTTGCTTCTGAGTGCAACTATACAAAGCCTAGTCTATCTTTTACGAGTCCAGACTTTGAGATGAAAGGGTTCAGAAAGCTCTAAGTTCTCTAAAAAGTATGTTGTAAAATAGTCACTATGACCAAGAAACCCTTAGGACTAAATTGCAAATTTCTCTTTCCTATTTACAGAAGAAACTCTTATCTGCATTCTTTGGGTTACAAATGGGCTGTTAAAAATATTGTGACCATTAATATAAATTTAAATCTTTAACTTTCTTATACTGATTTAAGAAAAATTCTTATTGAAACTAAATTTCCAAATGTCCAAGATTTCAGCTATCTTTATTTCATACAGTCCATTGACAATTTGTGTGTGTGTGGGGGGGTGGGGACTAAGTTTGCATTGCACTTATCTCTGCTCTGGTTCATGTGGCAACATTTTTTTCTCCAGATCAGAATCCACTCTATTTTCTCCAATCTAGAAGTACATTCAAATAGAACATTTTTGCTTGAACGGAATGTGATCTTCAACATTTTTAATCTACAGTTTTTCTATATATAAATTTGAAGAATGGGAACAAGACATAGAGTATGAGGAATCAAAAGTGAAATTAAAATCCCTTCAGTACACTGATACTTTTGGAAAGGTTTTTTGTCTGGTGGTGATTTACATATTCTTTCCTGGGACAAATAGTTGCTATTCACTTGTTTTGATATTACATTTGACAGAAATGCTAAAATTGGTCTTGAGATTAACCATACCTTTAAAAATCCAGAGAGCTTCAGTCTGTCTCGTGTTAAAAAGCATGATAAAGCCATAATATTTTAAAGTTTCTCAGCATTATAAATGGTAAAAATAATAAAAGCATTCCCAAATATTACTTGTTATAATAATTAACAACTACATACACTCAAGCGTTACCATTTGTAGCACTTATTTTGCATTTATTTGGATGCTATTCCTCACTTTAATAGGAGATTGTCAATTCTTTATAGTGAGGATCATACCTTATTCATCATTACATACTTAACAACTAAATACTAATAAGAGAATAGTAACTGAGGTTAGGTTTTAAGTTTACTAAGCAGCTA